TTTAAGACCCCAGACGCTATACTTTTTGATAGCCGGGCACCATCAGCTTTCTTCGCCACATTTGCTTGTGCACCCATTTGTCTTCAGTGATCCGTTCGACACCTCGTGATCACACAGGTTGATATGTTGTTCCATGTGGGCTTTGTGAGCAGACTCCTTTTTAAACGTTAAATGAAGTTTGCTGTATTTGGAAAGCATCCTGGTGGCGCTGTGGAATAAGCATTGATTCCTAACTACAAGGCAGGCAGTCTAAACCCACCAGCCAGCGCTCCTCGGAATAAAGAGGAGGGCTGTCCTTTCCCTTAAAGCCTAGTCTTAGAAACCCTATGTGCGGCCACTCTGAGTTGGAATCAATTCGATGGCAGTAGGTTTGGCGTATGTTGGCATCAGCCATGTTTGGAATCCTTGGATATTTTGAAAAACAGCCAGCTGTCAAAAGCTGTCGACATTAATACAATTTCTAGTTTATATGCTTGTCATATTTATTGCTCTTTATTTTTCCCTATATACTAGTCATCTTTGAGTCATCCTGTATTCCCATCCTCAGTATCCATTTTCCCTAGTGTTTCCTTTAGTTACCACATAAATCCCCTGGTGTACCCAGCTTGGGTATTCATCTTCTCTTGCCTTGACGTTCCTATTTGTTCTCCCTGATTCCAGTCTCTTTTCTCTCGCCAGCCCATCTTCATCATAAGCATCAGATTGGTTTTCAAAGATACATCTGATCGTTAAGTCTTATGCCTCAGCTCACTGTCATCAAGTCAGTGCTGACTCATAGTAACCCTATAAAACAGGAAAGAATTATCCTGTGAGTTTCCAAGCCACTAACTCTTTACAGGAGTAGAAAGTCCCATATTTCTCTTTCTTACTCCGAGAGCCTCTAAATACCATATTTATAAGTTGCTTTTTAAAAGAAATTAAGTTTAATATGGAAGAAAATATTATTGTGCCTTTAACAAAAGTCTGGTAATGTTATTTGTGGTAGAATTGCGTACATCCCTGGAAGAACATCAGTCTGCTTTGGAACTTATAATGAGCAAGTATCGTGAACAGATGTTTAGATTGCTGATGGCAAGCAAAAAAGATGATCCAGGTATAATAATGAAGCTAAAAGAGCAACACTCCAAGGTAATCTGTTCTATAAATATAACTGGAATGGAAACAAGGTACAATTGATTTAAGTTGTGTTCAGATTTTTAAAAAGTCACAGTTGCCTAGTAATGCCTTTCGAACATGTTGTTGAGTACTTTATCTTTTTAGTTGACCTTCTGCTCTTTTATTCAGTTCTTTTTTGTGACATATCGTTTTCTGTTTGACTCATTCTTCTGTCACTGTTCTCTAGTAGCTTATCATATATATTCAAACATGAACTTTATTTGGAAAATCTGGGTAAGCTTGTTCAATTCAGAATTATTTTTGTAATGTTACCTGTTTTTAAGAGATATATTTTAATTTGTATTTTGTTATCTTGCTGAAATTAAAAATACTGAAAACTTTTCATAAAAATCTGAAAGGAGCTAAATGGTCATTCATTTTTAAGATAGCTTTTCTGAATGAAGCTAATTCATTCAAACTCTAAATGATTCTGTTTATAATGGAAAGGTCATGGAGTTGGGAAGCAGAAAAAGAGCCAGTATATTAAACCTTTGCTCCCTTTGCCTGCATTGACTACTTGTTAACATTGCCTTGAGACCATGCTAAAGTAGTTAAAAATGAGTAGTTTTCCTACTGTTGTTGACCTTAGTGCCATCCCTGTGTTCATTCCCTTTGTATACTGTTAAGTGTTGAACAACACCGGGGTTAAGAACATTGACCGTCTGCATAGTCGAAAATCCTCATACACCTTTTGACACCCCAGAACCTAGCTACTAATAATCTATGGTTCACTGAAAGCTTTATCAGTACACACATAAACAGTCATACGCGTTATATGTTGTATGTATTATATCTTGCACGTACACAAAAGCTACATTTTCAGAATAGTTTAAAAAGGAATTGTGCTAGTGGTGTAGCTGCAGCAATGGCTTTCCAAACTTTCTTTTCATTGTTTTACAATGGTTCATTAGTGGCATTTCATAGAGGTCCCAGGATATTTTTTAAGGTTTACAATATTATAATAAGCGCAATGGGGAATAGTTGAGGGCCATGAGAAATTGCTTTTTACTGTGATGCACAGTTTACTGGTAAACTGCCCAGGTAAATAGGATCAGGTTTATATAGCATTTAGAAAAACAAAACAATTATTTATCAGTGGGCCTGAGCAGTTCACATCGGGTTGTTCAATGGCCGACAACTACATGTCCTTGTGTTTGCCTGTAACTGCTGTGAAAACAGAAAAGACAATCCTCTCATTTATTTTCTTTTACACTAAAATTTAACTGCTGGTGTGAAATAAAAATATTCGGATAGATTTTGATGATTGCTATTATCTGTATTAGCTTGTGTTGAGCTAGTTAGTTATAACTAATAACTAAGAAATTGTCATTGGTTTAAGGTATATTGTTATCTTTCTTGATTATCCAAATATATTCCAGGTTATTTTAAATATTTTCTGTATAGTGGTGCTAGTAGATGCTTTAAATTAATTATTAATTCAATTAGAATTAATAGGTAGTAAATTAAATCGATCTTTAAATAATCTCCCAATATTAAGAAAACTATTAACAATCACATTTTGTGTTCAAGCATTAAAACAATAAGTAAATCTGCATTTCATATTGTATAACTAACACTATTAAACACCCAACCTAAAGGAAATCCTTGGGTGTTTAAGTGGCAAAACTTTTTAAACATAAGATACATCTGTTGTTAATGAGATCATTGTAAAAGCATTTAAGTTTAAATGTATAATTTGTGTTTTTTTAAAAGCATAGAGATGAATTGACATAAAATTATTAAGATAATTATAATATTGATAAATTCCAAAAGAACCTTACAATAAGATCCTAAGGAATAATTTTAAGATATGAAGAGGAAAATATTCTGTTTTTTGAAAAACAACTTTTAGATTAAGGTTCTGCTGCTTGCTGACCCTATCTGATAGCAGCTTGACACTGCAAATGTTTTCTTAAAACACATTACAAGATTTTAACAATCACCGGGACTGTATTATTTATCACCAAAGTTGTGCAGTTTCTAAAGCAGCTGTAAGCCATCTTTTTTCCTTACATAGATTGAACTCTTCATCTAAGTACTGATACTTGCCGTCGGTAAAATGGCTATTGAATTACATGTTATTAATTCTAACCAATACTGATGTTTGTGATTTTGATTTTTCCCAAAAAGGAGACACTTGCCTCAATTAAATAAAACACTTGCACTGGCTTGGTTTTTATGGGTAATAACAGGATAAATGAGTGAATATGTTGCATTACCATGCTTTAGGAGCTCACAGTGTAATGCAAGATATGGTTACAAGTACAGCCTCAAATGTGCTGAATTCTAAAATAGGTGCTACTGAAATGGAGGAAGCAAGATTGCTTCTCATGAGGAGACTAAGAAAATGTCAAAAGAAGAAAAGGCATTTAAATCCAGCCTTTAATTATTGAGGGGTCAATAAGCAGAAGTAGTTGAAAAGAAAGATTGTAGATATTCCAGAATGTGTTTAGGAACCTGTTCAGTGTTCTGATCTGCCTAAACACAAAAGTGATTTTGTAGGGCATGTAGACATTTACAGATAGCAGAATTTTGGAGCATGAGACTGTTTGAAAAACACAGTAATAAGGATTTTTGTCCTCACCTGGAAGTTTTTTAGTACACTTAAAAGTCAAAGTTTGAGAAAAACCCAAAGTCCTGCAATGCTTATTATTTCATATATATATTTTTTGCACCTATTAATTAGATGCCTTTTTGGAAATGTTAAAAAAACAAACATTTCATACAATTGGCTAACACGCATGAACTAACACTCATTCAGTTTTTGGATTACGGATGATGTCCGTATTAACATTATAATGACTCTGTACTACAGATTGACATGGTACATCGTAACCTCTCCGAAGGACTCTTCCTTGATGCATCTCGACACATCCTTGAAGCACCTCAACATGGACTGGAGTGGAGGCACTTGGAAGCAAATCAGAATGTACACAAAATAAAACAGTCAACTTTGGGGGTGTGGGTGGAAGCGGGGATCCATTTTAACAAAGTTCTTTTACATTGATTTTTTTCCCCCCTAGTCAGATGAGGGAATAAACTCAATTCAAAGAATGTTGTGCTTATCAAAACCTAACAAAAAATATTCAGTGTAGAGACTTTAAGTCTATCAACTAGTTCTGTTTATTGTTTTGTAGACAACCTGTAAGATAAATTACAGATTTGAAAGATGGTTCAGCTCAGCTTTTCATTCATTTGCCCTTGTTGCTTACTATGAAGTTTTAGTCATGTCTATAATTTAAACAAATAGTTATCTCTTTCTGTGATATCAAAACTATGTACTTGGCAATAATTTTTTACCAACTTTAAAATTTTTGTTATTTGAACTATTAAATGAAAATTTTCAAGTCAGATGTTTAACAACCTTTAGTTAATACAGGAGGAAAATAAGGCTGGCTGCACCATAAAGCTCATGTCTTGAAAACCCTTCCTGGGTCTGTATGAGTCAAAGTCAGCCTGATGGCAGTGGACTTGAGTTTTGTTACCCCCCCCCCTTTTTTGTTAACTTTAATGAATGAGTTCACAAATAAAATGCCTTTGTTAAGGTGGTTGGTTAAGTATAGTAGTGTTCTTTTTGTGTATCGATCGGGTTTTTTTCCCTTAGTTGAAACAGGTCTTTTAGATAAGAAAGAACTAAACTTGGACAAAGTTAAAAATGAAAGGCATTTCAAGACAGGTCAGGGGGTTTGCTGCTGGCACTTCTTTGCATCAACATCAGTCTTTAGACCTGTGATAATCGTCTAAGAAGGATACTGTCATAAATGAACCATTGACCATTCCATTTAGAAGGGCTTTGGCTTGTTTGGGTTTTCTTTTTCCTCGCTTAAAATGATTTTGCTATCAAAACAAATCTTGTTTTCCTCCATGTTGAAGGCAAAGAAATAGACATCCTGTATAATCTCTTATACTAAATCAGTGCCTTAGATTTAATGGAGAACACTGTTAGTATTAAACAATTTAGTCACTACCCTAATTCAATATGCTACTGCATTAAAAAAAACAAACTTATATATCAGGGTTCTTTTATAGCAGGAAAGATTTTTTTAAAACCATTGAATATTTATTTTGATATAATTCTTGCTATCCAAATCTGCAGTGATGGAGATCATTCAATATCTGTGCTGTCCATGAAGCCAATAGCCACATATAGCTATTGAGATAATATATAGCAATATAGTTAATGGAACTGAGGGCCTGGATTGTTACGTTTTAAAACTTACATTTTATTTGAGTTCAATTTAAACAGCACTACTACTATTGGACAGTGAAGACCAAGTACTTATTGTTCCTTTTCCCGGCATACCAGCACTCGATGGCTTCAGCCTGTGGGCTGGCGTTTTTGTTAACTAAGAAAATTGTAAATGTGTGGTTTGCTAAAGACACTTAGAATTTTCCTCCTCATGTCTTGCATAATTATTAATTTAATGTTATTTTGGGTCCTGTTAAAACCTTTTTTAGAAATAGTAAATATAGCTAAGAGACTTGATGTTTATAACGGGAACTATTGATTTTATATTGATGTTTTGGCCTTAATGTGAGGGAGCTTCAAAAATTTTATGGGAAAATGGAATTAAAAGTTACTGAACTTTTCCCACAAACTTTTAGAGGGCCGTCATATACTATCCCTTGCCAGTAGATAATGATCTGTAAAAGCTATTTATGGAGAAAATATAGTCTCAACTTTCTGTTGATTTTAAACTTTTGTCTTGTCTCTTCACTAGACTGTAAGCTCCTAGGGGATGGATCTTAGCAGACTTAGTTGCCTGGCACAGTGCCTGGCCATTGCAGTGTGCAAAAAAGATTAAGGGAAAGGACTTTGGGAAAACTTTGTGCTGTTTGCATATAGTGATGTAGCTGTCTATTCTGGGATTACATTTAGAATTGTGTATGAAAAGGCCATTTAACATTTTAATACTTAAAAGAATTTTATTCAATTTACACAATATGTATTATGTACCAAATGCTAAATAATAGGCAGATATTAAGATGATACAGTTTTTGCTCTCAAAGAGGATTTTAAGCTTGAAAAATTCTGGATTGGATTCAGATTCATATATAGGCATAGATGATTCAGAAAAGATTTCTAAGTTATGAAGACTTCAGGGAGGAAAGAGACTGTCAACAACAATATATTTAACATGATCTTGACCACTAGTAAATGTAAATGTTGAAAGAAAAGGTTGCTGATCACATGGGATGAAAGGAATGCAAAGCAAGAAAAGTGCTTTTCTTGTTAGTGCACTTAGTTTATTTCAATACCCTTAATTCTAATCCTGTCACAAATCTGAGTTCAAAAGCACATTTAAGTTCAAGTGACTTTCAGGTGAAAACTTTTAAGAGTATTACACTGATTTTAATTGACATACAGATTTTTTTTTTAAGATTAAAAAGTATTTCACTGATTTGAAACTCTCACCCACTCCCATTTTTCTTTTTTTCTTCCAGGAATTACAAGCACATGTTGACCAAATAACTGAAATGGCAGCAGTAATGAGGAAAGCCATTGAAATTGATGAGCATCAGGGTTGCAAAGAACAGGAACGAATATTCCAACTTGAAGTAAGTTTTAAAATGCAAACATAGATGAAAACAATCTATAGCCCCCCCCCCCCCAAAATAGATCCGTTTTACGAAAATACAAATTGGGATAATAGTAATGTTCTTTGACTTCATCTGGGTGCTAGATTATATGGATTTATAATGCAAGACAATTTATTTAGTAATGAAAGAATTTAAGATCAGAATACAGTAGTTACGAATTGTGCTGAAGAAAGTTGGGTTTTTCTACTCCCATAGACTTAGTCTCAAGGACTTTGGGCCTCTACTTAAGGCCTCCCTCAACACAAGAACACTTTATTCTAATAACCTGGCACTCTTTGGTACTCACCTTCCCGACACGATCACTAAAGACAAAATGGGTATGTAAGCAAATGTGTTGAAGAAAGTGGATGGTACCCAGCTATCAAAAGATAGAGCATCTGGGATATTAAAGGCTGGAAGTTAAACAAGAAGCCATCTAGCAAAGAAGCAAAGAAGCCCACATGGAAGAAGCACACCAATGTTTGTGATCATGAGGTACTGACGGGATCAGGTATCAAAAAATCTCAAACAATCATATCGATGTGAAAGAGGAGGTTAGAGTGTAGACCCAAAGGATTACAAGGAAGGGACATTTCAACCAGGGTGTGGTATCGCACCAACGAAACACACATAATTCCTCTAGTTCCTGAATGCTTCCTCCCATGCACCCCATCACCACCACCACGCCATAACCCAGTTCTATCTTACAAATCCAGCTAGACCAGGGGAAGAATAACAGAAATGTGGGAGAAGGGAGACAATGGGCAGTGTAAGATATGAAACAACAACAATAATACATAATTGATTAAGGATGGGAAGAGGAAAAAAGAGGAGCTGATACCAAGGGCTCAAGTAGAAAGAAAATGTTTTGGAAATGTACATATGGCAACATATGTACAAGTGTGCTTAATACAATCGAATGCTGGATTGTCATAAATTTGTAAGAGCCTTCCAAGAAAATGATTAATAGAAAAAAAGAGTTACTTTCTAAGAAACTTACAGAGGCAGTTCCAGCCAGTCCAGTAAGGTCTCTACGAGTAGGCATCAACTCAGTGGCAAGTACACATTGGGTTGCCAACTGCAAGGTCAACAGTTCAAACCCACTAATCTCTTCTCGGGAGGAAGATGAAGCTTTCTAGTCCCATAAAGATTTATAGTCTTGGAAACCCACGGGGACAGTTCTACTCTGTGCTCTGTCGGGTTGCTATGAGTCAGATTTGGCTCAAGGGCAGTGAGTCTGGTTCTGGGTATGGCTTTATCTTGTCAATAGAATATCCTTTTTCAGTTTGGTATACTTATTCATTCACTCCATTAGAGATCACAGTGATAGGGAGGAAAAACATTTTTAATCCAAAATAATCTTTACACCCTTATTTCTCTGGGAAATGTAAAGCCTTTGTCTCACAAAAGGGTAAGTCAAAAAATGTTGCTACAAAATCATAGAAACCTTTCTTAAACAAAAATATCAAAATATGAAGCTATTGTTTCTGGACCTATGCTTCATCTAGGTCTACACACCTCTGCAGGCAGGGTGTCCATCTCTTTAACCCTTCCACAAAGAAATTTGTTGCTCTCCAGTTTACACCACCTCAAAATAGCAGCTTTGGCATCGTTGGGGGACTGAGATCATTTTCCTTTGAACTTGTTCTGTAAGTTTGGGGAACAGGTCAGGACAAACCTTGGTACTTTTGAAGAATAGCACAAGTGCATTGTTATGATGGGGTGCGAGTGAGTGGGTGGGTACATGCTACAACTTTCCTAGGGTTTTTCTCACAGGTGCAGTTTTTATTTTCTAAAATTTCTTCCTAATAAGATACCCATGATTGCCCCATATCCTTTGAGAAAATCTATCAGGAGTCCCCAAAACGGTTCCCTTAACCTTCTTAGCTTACATTTAACTGGTCCAGCATATCCCCTCAGAAGTCACTGCTTTGAGTGGACCTTTTTTTTTTCTGGACTTTTTCTTTTGAAGACACCCTAACAAGACTAAGAGAAGTGTATTCCCGAGAGAACTTGGCTGCAACTATGTACTGATCACAGATATTTTATATGTAGATAATTATTTATTGTGAATTATTGGGGATGGGGTGTTACCATTGGTTTTGTGTTTAAGTTTACTTCTCAACTCCCCACCTAAAACTTACCCTAGCCCTCCTTTGATTTCTCTGTCAAGTGGATGACAAAATCCCTTCACCCAAGGTAATGCCTGTCAACCCCTTCTAGTCTATTGCTTCATCTTTCCTCTCTTGCCCTTCCTGGGTAACTCCCAGTCTGTTCCCTTTGGACTGAAAGTCTGTGTCTTGGGTTTTGTCCATGACAGTGGTCTCATGCAGTATGTACCCTTTTGTGATTGACGCGTTTCACTCAGCATCATGACCGCCAGCCCATCCCTGCCAGTGAGGCGCTTTGTGGTCTCATTGTAGAGGCATGTCTAAACACATTGTGTGTGGCATGAACCTTTGCATGTATGAACTGGACCTCTAGTAGCAATATTTTCTGATGTACCCCCATACGTTCTCTATTTTGAGACCACAGAAACATAAGACCTTAATAATATAAACCAGTGGAATACACTTCAGTGTCTTAAAAACTACATTTTGAAACCATGGTGATGAAATTATTTAGAGGGCCAAACATGATTATGATTTCTTCCTCAGCATCCAGTGTTTCCTCGTTCTTTAAAGTAGGGGTTGGCAAACTTTCTCAGTAAAGTCTAGCCAGTAAATGTTTAGGCTTTGCAAACTATTCCACTTTTGCCAATGCAACACAAAAGCAGCTTTTGTCTAATGATTGAATGGGTGTTACTGTTAAAATAAAACATAAATTACAAAAACATGTCACTAGTAGGACTACTTCATAGTTTGTGACCACTGCTTTCTGCCACTGTAACTTAGAAAACTTATTAGAAAGTAGATTAATTCAGATATAGTTAGGTTAAAATTTAACACCTGTCCAGGAAGGCAAAGGATGCTTGGAAACTGATCGTGGTAGCAATTGTTCAATACTGCTTGTTTTGATTGAGGTATGGAATAATGCATGTTTTAACTCCCAATTAAAAATAAATTTAAAATTTTAACACCTTATCATTTGGTCTCCCTTTGGACCCATTTAAATTTGTTCCAATTTTTAATATTTTGTTTTGTCTATTTTTTTTTCTGTTCTTTGTTTTTCTGTGTATGAAGTCCAGAGTAGGTAGATCTATAGACAGTGATTCTATACACAGACCCATCATGAACTATTTCCTAGGGTTATGGCAGAGGAGGTTGGAGGGAAATGGGGAGCGAATACAAGAAAAAGAGAAAAGCTTCAGATGGACTTTAGGGTCTCTACTTAAGTCCTATCAGTATAAGAATAGTTTGTGCTAATGATGTGGCCATGTATGATACTTTCCCGACACGGTTGCTGAAGACAAATGGGTGCATAATCAGATGTGGTGAGGAAAACTGATGGTGCCTGGCTATTAAAAGATATGGGGGGAAGGGGTTAAGGTAGTCAAAGAAGTGGTCAGTGAAACAACAAAGCCCACATGGAAGAAGCACACGAGCCTGTGTGATCATGAGGTGTCAACAGGGATAGGTATCAGAACTTCAAAAACAAGCACTCAAATTGACATGAAGGAACATGGACAAAGTGGAGCCCCAAAATCCACCTGTAAGATAACTGGACCATCTCTCACCGAAGGGCCACACGGAAGGGATTACATATCCAGGGTGCAGTTTCATGCACTGATAAAACGCATAATCTTCAAGTATTTAATGTTTCCATCCCTTACTATTATGGTCTTAGTTTTACCTCATTAGTCATGTGTTAGACCTGCGTGTGTTCATTTTTATAATTAAGATTGTTCAATGTGTGAAATACAAGATAGATAAGCTCTTCAAAAAGAGTAATGGGAGTAATGATTCCCTGAGGCTACAGGAAAAGAAGGAGGGGACGAGGGGGAGCAGACAGCAATGACTGTATAACTACCTGAGGGGAATGAAGAACAGAATTGTAGATGGACAGTTACATTGGATGGCATAAGATACAGCAAAAAATAATATATAATAAGAGTTCATAGGGGGAGGGGATAAAGAGGAACTGATATCAAAGAGGTCCAGAAGAAAAAATGTTTTGAAAATGATGGTAGCAGCAATTATACGATGGTTGATTAAATTTAATTATGGATTGTTATATCTGTAAATGCTCCCAATAAAATGATTTTTTAAAAGAAACGCTTCTAAAATTGATTGTGGTGATGATTGAACAACTCTTTTTTTAATATGATCAAACCATTGAATTTGTAGCCCCCCCCCAAAAATACATTCAAAAGCTAATAATTACATATTTCTCCCCAAATAACTAAAAATTCTGTATGAACTGGCATTTTGCATTAATTAAAAAAAAAAACAACTTAAGAACATGAGACTAGACAGTGGTGGTAGAGAATTAAGAAAGGTTACTTTTTAGACATTTAAATCTAAGTTTCTTATAATAACTAGAAAAAAATAAAGGCAGACTTGCTTACCAATCTTGCTGACCAGATTTGGTCACTTTGCCCTTGAGTATCACGACCTACTCAGCCTGCTCTGAGATTCCAGTGAGGAAAGCAAACCGCTGATTTACCCTACGCCCTGCTGTCAAGAAAAGTACATAGAGTACTAAGACGGTCTAACCACAGCCTATCTTTTGTTGGCTTGTGTTTATATGTAAACCTGGATGCTAACTGCTTTTTAGTGTGTGGTTGTAGATCAAAACCATGTCAGAGGTTGTCTACTCGTTACAAATATGCTTACCCAATGGTGGAAGATGTTGAACTCAGGGCTTTCTTAAAACATTGTCTAGATTCACTATGAGGAATGGAATTAAAGGATACTGTTATTTTACCATGAACTTGTGTACATTCTTGATGCTACATCCAAGTTTTGTTTGCCTTCTTACAGCAAGAAAACAAAGGCTTGAGAGAAATCCTTCAGATAACTCGGGAGTCATTTTTGAACCTCAGAAAAGATGACACATCGGAAAGTACGTCTTTGTCAGCGCTGGTGACCAATAGTGACCTGAGTCTGAGGAAAAGCTGAAGCGTTCCCAGCATGTGAGCTTTTATCCACATGCGTGTCACTGGGACTGAGAGATGAATGGATTGAGTAACAGAAAAATCAACCTCAGTCAACCAATGTGTGTGTGTATAAATACATATGCACAGTGTGTGTATAAATAATACATGCGCACATCATATGAACAGCATACCGGACAATTACATTTTAAAATGATAAAAAATGCAATTAAAAAGTAGAAAATAAGCCATTTATAATTAGTGAACAGATGGAGGATTCTTGGTGAGTACTGAATATAAAAAGGGCTTCCAGTAGTACTCTTTGCTAGTTCTAGACAATATTTGGGTAATCTTGCATATTTCCAGGCAGCTAGGATTTATAGAATTATTCCACTTTAAAAATACAAATTTAGGGCATGGCTTTGTGAATGGAAAATTCTAAGTATCCTTCCTGTTTGGTTTTAGAATTTACAAATGGCTTTTCAGAGTTTGGTTTACGTGACTGCCAGTCCACTTTCCCATTCTTTTTTTGTCAAGTACAATTGCTTTAGAGGCTTTAAGAATGTTTTATACTCATCATAAAGAGATTTAATTTTAGCTATTTACGCTATTAAAACGTGTCTGTTTTCCATAAGTTGCTTAAATGTATGAAATATCTCAGGAATGAAAGAGAAGGAATACTACTTTCTAAGAAAGAAGATCTTTTAAGAGATATATTTAGTAGGTTAAACTACTCAAGACAGAAAAGTTTTGGTTCTAAGTCAATAGTGAAGATGAGATTCTTTTGTGGTTGATCTTTGATGATATTATGTAGCTTATTTAGCTAACAGAATCAAATTATTAAATGCTTATTCTCAAATTATTAAATGCTTATTCTTAAATACTAACAGTATAAATTATAATTTCAAAAAAACCTAAGATTTTTCTTACCAACCTTTTAGTCAAAAGGAATGAAAATCTGTCTCAGAAGTATATTTTATGTTTTTGCAACATGTCAAATATCCAGTATACAAGT